TATAACGTAGAGCTTTATTTCTGTATTGCAAGGATCTGTTTACATAAAGTTTAGTGATAAGGGGGTTTAGTGAAATATGTCAGTGAGTAACAAAAAAGGACAGGGGCCGCGAAACCGGAGGGCAGAGGGGTTTTTAGCTTTCTCACATTTTATAAATGAACGGACACAGCCTAAGAACAGGACTAAGATTAAAATTTTTTACTCAATATTTATGTAACTAAATTTACAACTAAAAATATATACATAATTTTTTTTGTGTCTGATAACAAATAAAAAAAATTAAAAAATCTCAATATCAAGGGGGCTTTAAAATTTCCTTGGTGAAAACTGAAATTTTATTTTTTAAAGACCCATCAAACTAGACAGAAACTAGTTTGTTTCTAAGAAAGAAAAGGAAAGAAAAAGAAAATCGCAGAATAACTGCGAAAAAATTATGTAAGCGTGTAAGTTTATTTTCAGCAACAATAAAAAAAATAAATATTCAATCGCCGTACATTTTCCTTTTTTCCCATCAGTTGGTTCCAGCCGGATTTGTAAAGAATTTTGAGAAAGAGCTCCAAGAAGTACGAGATAAAAGAAACAGAAAAAAAAATAGAAACTATTATATATATTATTTCTTTCGCTCAGAGTAGCTATCTTTTTTTTCTTTCTTTCTTTTTAGTGAGTAAAAGGGAACACCAAACCTTTTTTCGACCACAAAGTTATCTTTATCTTAAAATACGGAGAACAATTTTCAGGTGACGATAATTGTAGGCTCAGACCGTTACTAAATCGTTAGGTGAGTCACGAATGTGAGTCAAGAGCAAATTCGAGATAAGTCAAGTTTGCAAGAGAGGATCTAAAGATAAATTTCCTTCCTAGTATACACACATGAACAAAGTGTCACTCTTTTGGTAATTAAAATATTTGAAATAATTATTTTTTTTTTTATCTATTGAAATAACTTTTTTGTAGTACAACAAATAGCTGGCTACAATAAAAGAAAACTATGCGTTATTTTAGCAATCTCACCGGGGCCGGATTAAGTACACGCGGGGCCCTAGGCCATTCAAATTTTTGGGGCCCTTAGATTAAATTTTTTTTATTTATTCAAATATAAAAGTATTTATATTTCTTTTCCTTTAAGAAAGCATATTTAAAATAAATAATAAATTAAATTTTACTTTATTTTGTTAAATTAGAACTAAAAAAATTATCGTATTCTATTAATATATATATTTGCAATTGATTTTTCTTTTCAAAAAAATCATTGCTTTTCTTAATTTTTTAAAATTTATTTAAAAAAATTTTTTTTCAAGGGGGCCCCAGGCCACGGCCTAGTTTTGCCTAGTGGGTAATCCGGCCCTGAAATTCACCCTTAGTGTTTTTCAAAAAAAAAAAAAAAANTCAATAATACGTGGTTATGAAAAAGAAATCAAGATGCCAGGAAATGCAAATAATAATTGATCAAGCTACATAAAGGCTTACATTTATAATTTTTTATGTTAATTTAAAAGCTTCCAAAATATATATATGTTTGTATGGGAGTAAAATATATGAATCTTTTTTCATGGGTTTATTTCATTTCCGGGTCATTCTGTGTCAGAATTTAACCATACCCTATCGGAATTGGATCAAATTTGGCACGCGGTTGTGTTTGTAAATAAATATACCAAATTTTACTCGAAAATATTGACCCATTTTATAAATATAGCTCTTAAAAAATTGGCCAAAAAACCTTCACAGACCAATTTTTAAAATGACCTAAAAACTTCCTAAATTTAGCTAGAGAGTTGTACTAGGTACCATTTTAAAGCTATTTTCAAAACCTTTACAATGATATGCAACACATTTATAAAAAAATTAACTTAATTTTAATTAAAATTTAATTTTTTTAAATTGTGCTACATAAAAATTTTAAAAAAAAATTTGAATAATGCTTTGTAAAATACTAAAGTGATTGTGTAAGTTTGAAAATGGGATCTTGATGGCTTCATGGTAAAATAATTAATTGAATTGAGCTTTGCTTCGTAAAAAAATATGTACATAATTACAAAATAGAAATTAGATAATAAAGGAAAAATGCAGAAAAATATTCCTAAATAATCTAAAAAAGTTGGTACAGACTTTTTTAGATAAAAGATCACAGTTGGAAAAAAATAATTCTACACTTTACTTACGTTATTGAAAGAATTTTAATCAAAATAAAAATTCCGATTTTAAAAAGTCCAATAAATTTTTTAAATCCAAGGCAAAACTTTGAAAAAATTACATCAAATGAAAAAAAAAAGGAGGGGAGGGGGGATATAAACTGGTTTGTATTCTTTAGTTTTATTTATTACTGTAGTTACAATGAACTATGTTAAATCATAAATGATATACTGCTCAATGGTTATCTTTTTAATAATTATAAAATCCAATTTTTTTTTTAATTTGATTTTTATAAATTTTATATATAAGCAAATGACACATAAAGATGTACTAAATCTGAAGATCTCAAGATCTGAAGCTTAAGGCATTTTAAAATTTTTGTTTTTTCCAATGCCTACCTGGGAAATGACCTTTTGCCAATACAGGCATCTGAAGGGCAGATTTGTTGGTCAATTTTTCAGGGGCACCATATTAGGTGGGAAAACGATTCTTCCACAATAAAGACAGATAGTACAGAGAATGAAAGGACATCCATTGCCAGGGACTCAAACCCAGAACCTTTCTGATGCAAGGCCAGTTTCCTGGCCCCTACACAGACCAGTTGACGCATTTTAACATTTAAACGTTTCCAATTAAAAGAGAGATAGCTGGCAGTTCAGGGTTTTTAAAAATTGAGAGCTACATGAAAGATGAATCCATGTTTTTGTTGATAATTCCTGGTCTTGTATTTTTTTTTTTAATAGCCTACACCTAGATTGCGCAATTTAACACTATAGGACCTTTCTTTTCATTTAATTAAAGAAAAAAAAATTTTTTTTACTAAGCTTCAGTTTTGGGCATTTTACCTACTCTAAATGTTTACTGAAAAGATATTGCAATATCAAGTTTAAATTTGTTTATGTTGAGTAATATAGAAATTCTAGAAAAAAAAAATGCATTCACAAGTCGCTAACATAGGCTTACACGAACACTAAGCTGGGAACTTCAGACTGAGCTAAATTTCCTCTCAACAGTTTACGTTTTTGAAAAATAGAAAAAAAATATCTTTATTCAAAAGCATCAATCACTTATTAAATATAATGCTTGAATAAAATATAGACAATCTTAAATAAAATTATTTAAACTTCTATGTTGTCTAAATTTGTGTGGACAAAGTTCAACAATAATTATACTAAGATTTCACCATACATAATTTAGTTAATAGCTCTGTTACACAATAAGTGTTATTAAAAAAAAGAAGAAGAACTGATTAATAATGCTATAAAAAAGCAAATTTTCAGTTTCAATAATTTTCTTTCTCAAATAAAACCTATGGATCTAGTTTTGACCCTTCTTAAAAAAATTGAACAAATTTGTTAGAAAAAAGCAGAACTGATGAAGAATTTACTGGTTAGATCCTGAGGAAGTACAGTATAACAACTGCTTATCAGCAAGCAAATCAGCATCATATTTTATTTATAAGTCTTACTTCTCTTTTTTAATAATTTTAAAAATCTGAATATTATGCCTTAAAAAAACTGAGTTAATTTAACAAAGGTCATGAAAAGAAATTTAAAATAACAATTTAATAATTTATTCAGAAAAAAATGTCTTCTTTTCGGAAGGGACCCACAAAAATATCAATTTGTATTCCTCTGAGAAAAAACTGATTTAATATTTTTTACTGTTCATAATTTTTTCTAATAAATTAAAATTTTAGCAGTGCTATTCAACAAAGGATTGCATAAATGATTCTAGGGAATCAGAAATATTAATTATAAAAAATAATACATAAGTAGCAACAAAGATATTGTGAGAAGTCATATCTTTCATTCATCTTGCTATTCAGAGTGGAAAACCACGAAGGTGCAAAAAAATAAGCAACAAAACAGTTGTACGCAAGTAACAATAAATGAATCTTTAACTATCTTACAAAATTGGTCAAAAAAATTATTGAGCTAATATTAATGCCTTTATTTGGTCATTTTGCAGATAATCTGAGGAATTCTCTTAGCTGCAATTTCATGCCAATTGAGATAACTAAGTAAATATATTTTTATTTAAAAAAAGACATAAAATCTATGGTCTAAGAATAAATGAGCCCCTAATTTACCCTGTATCAATATAGCTGAATCTTCTTAATAATTTCCCTCACATTGTAATGAAAATATTTTATTTATAAGAAATGCAAGCAAAACAATTTATGCTACACCTACACAGTATTATTCACCATGATAAGTGTGAAACTCATCCAAATAACAGAAAGAATAAATGATAGAATAAATTAAAGAAATAATTATGTCTTTCAAAGTTATGTTCGAAGTTATTTTTTTAAATGTATCTCCTTAAACTGGTAGGATAAAAATGAGCAACATAATTAAAGGGATTGGATAAGCCACATTTTTGAATTATTCAGTAAAGAGTTTTTAGAAAAAAAAGAACACAATTTCCATCTAAGCAATAGGTTGTTGGGATGTTTCAATATTTTTTTACAGTTGGAAATTTTAGAAACTTGTACAGTACCGATCTGAAAAATAACCTAAGCAACAGTTTGTTAAAATGTTACCTTCAGAGAAAGTGTTTCTTATAACTAGTGTGAAAAATTACACACTTTTGTACAGAAAGTAAAGAAAAAAAATGTCACTGCTCATTTATCATGAATCACTAGATATTGATAATAACTGTATGTAATAGACTGGATCTCTTTTTACTTTATCAATAACTGTATTAAGCAGTCAAAAAAAAAAATTTTCCTTTTATCTTTCTATGTTTAGTTTACACTTTAAAATAAGTAATTTTTAACAGGTGTTAATTTCGGTTTTTTTCAAGCTGTATAAAATTAATGAACGCACAGGAAATGCTAATTAAATATGTATATATAAAAGACTTACCTCTTGTCCAGTTTCACGATTAACGGCCAACTGTACTTTCCCATAAGTGCCTTGGCCAAGTTTACGCTGGACATCAAATCTTTGTTTTAACCTATGTTTTTTATCACTTTTTAAAGGTGTTGACACAAGATCGGTGGACGAATTATTTTGCACAACCATGATGAATGGATCAAAATAAATTTCTTTAAATTATAAAACACAGTCGATTCATCAATAAACACTCAAAATATCAAAAGTTTTTTCTAACGTAATCACATTTTCGAAACAAGATACCACCGAAGTGACAGACCAAATGACACAATGAATATATTATTTATTTTTGGTGTAAATATCCATTCTTTTGGAAATCACAGTAACACGTAAAATGAGCAACAAATAATGTATTTATAAATAAGATGTTTCAGCCTTCGATTTATCATATTAGTCATACCAACCCACTCACATTTAAAATGAACATCAACAAACAGTAATCTCATTCATGACACACCGATTAAACCAAAACTTTTCTAAACATCTGATTTGTTTTCACAAGTTGGGATAGCGACGATTTCATTGCGTCACAATACAGGGGGCGCTACTTGCTGGATGAACATAACCGCTGTGGCAGATAAACGATCCAGCTCAGCTTTGTGTATTTTAATCAAAACTCGAACCCTCTATTTTGATTTTGTAGAAAATATTAGTGAGGTAACAAACCATATTCATTATCAATAATACGTGGTTATTCTTCTTTAATTTCCTTGAAATATAAGTTAAAGCTATTTAATTCTTCGGAAAAGAATATTTTAAACTTTTTAAAATAAAGTTCAAGGCATAAGCGAGTGGAGGCTATGAGCCATTCGTACAGAAGAGCAAGTGGGCTACAGTGGCGTCGAGCAGAACTCTCTATACATGGCAATACTTTACATGCTTTCACCAATAGTGTGTGGAAAGTCATTGGAGAAAGAAGAACATTAGTTTCCGTCTTGATTTTCAAATAGATTAAAAACATTTAAGTTAGGAAATTACATGGAACCGAAAACTACATTGAACATATTTTCAAAAGAAAGTGTCGTGGAATTTTTAAGAAATATTTGTGACAATTAAATATGAAAAACATTTTTAAAAAACTGGAAATATCGTTGCACATTTCTATGCAACTGAGAAAAGGAGGAGAGGGAAGGGTCAAGCCATGGAGCGGTCTTTTCCCTAGATGGCGTATTCGAGTGTTGCGCTTGCGAATTTCTATTTCTAATGGAGTAGAAATGAACAAAATTACAGGACTCTCCCTACCTATACCCCAGTAAAACGACTGATCCTATACCCTTGTATGAAGTGAATTAGAATAAGTCACTCCACAGCGACAGTCGAAGTGTAAATTAAGCGTTTTCTTCAGCTCCAAGATTTCTAAAAGCATTTTTATTGCCTGCCATTTATTTGGCATGCAATGAGAATGCTCCTACCCAATGGGAGTTGATTAATCTAAGGACGCATATCAGTGTATGCTGTATCGGACTAAGCTCATTAACCATAAAAAATAATAAATAAAAGGAATAGCGGACAATATGGTTAAGGCTCTTTTTTGTCTCATTTACTAAATGTTATTGTCGTTCCACTTTCCACTGGCTGATCGTAAGATACGGTTTTTAATAGATCACCTTCGAAGTCAAACATTACTGGCAGCCGCCCGTGAGCATTGAGCATTATCGGCCCTTGTTAAACTATTCTCTTACAAAGTCCTTGATTTCGAGCTCAGGTTATCGGATTACCAAAGTGGGGGAGCCATACCCTCCACCAAGATCAAAGCTTTGATGGCATGTCAGGATCGTGCTCAGGAATTTTTCCCAGATTACCGCCAATAGCTATATTATATCATATATTATATTGTGCAGTTCTAATACAATGTAAATAAAGTACTACTGGTACTAAAATATGTATTTATATCATTATTGTAAATAATGTAAGCGTATTATTAATAATAATCGTATGAAAAATAATCGGGAAGGCAATGCCTAGTAAAGTTTAAAGATTAAGGTCCATTATCTGGTATCCCCACACATCTCCCAGTATGAATGTGGTAGCTTGATCCAAGCACAAAAGAATCTAGCATTTTTGGTATGCGGAGTCCCGTAGTGGACTGATCGTTAAGACACGGTTCCCAACAGATCACCGAAGTCAAGCACCACTGGCTGCTGTCAGTGTGCGGGTGGGTGACCACTTGGATCAGTCTGCGTAGGGACCGAAGGTGTGCGGTATTGGTTCTCGTTAAACTGTTCTACCGTAAAGTGCTCGACTTCGCGTGCAGGTCGTCGGGCTACCGAAGCGAGGGTGCCATCTCCTCTGTAGAGGATCAAAATTGTGATGTCATGTCTTCGGATCATCTTCAGGGATGTATCCCAGACCGTTGCCAATAGCCCATTGTGCAGCTCTAGTGCGACTTAAATGAACTACTCCTACTACTGGTATACGAAAGCAGCTTAAAATTGCAGAATGCACCCCTGGATTAGGTCGCCCTCATTGAAGAGTGCATTTTATAGATACTTAGCGTGTTTATAAATCATTAATGATTTAGATTTGAAACTTAATGCTTGTTTATACTAGCAGGTTGAGAAAAGCTACTTGTAGATTAAGGAATAAAATTTTAAGAGAGACCTCCAACATTCATTATCAGTACAATTGTACGGTTTAAACTGTTAACGATATGCCGCAATATCACATGAATTTAAATTAAGTCTGATGAATGGTAAAATACATATTTTTACTATGATTTTTAAAGTAACGAAGCGTTTATCCCGTAAAATAATGGGAGAGAGCAACAAACTTATTACACGTTTAAAGCATTTTTTGCCTACTAGCAGTTTTGTATTATTCGTTGTTAACTAAAAAAAAAACTTGTTTGGTTATATATATTAAATATGAGGTGTGATAGGTTTTTCAGTTAAGAAAAGAAAACAGTGTCCCATATATCACAAAAAAAGCAACAGAACTCAAATTAATAATTCTTAAAAAAAAAAAAAAAATTCAGTTTTCCAAAAAGGTGAGAAATGGTCAATTTGCTATCCAAAGTTTATAAAAGAAAACATTTGGCTAATGAGGGTTTGGTTAATGATAAAACTAATCATTTGTTTCAAAATTCTTAATTAAAAGTTCTTAACACCCAAGGTGATTCAAAATATACTTTTTACATTATCACTTATTTAAATAACTGATAATTTTACACAATTGTGTAAAATTACCATAGATTAATAAAATTAAACTCCATGTGTGAAAAGTTAAGTTATTGAATTTTATTTCGTTGCATTTGAAATATCAGGGGTATAGGGTACAATTAAAACAGTTACAATAGATTAGCCCCTTTTCACAAACTAAGCTAACTTGGAAGTCGTAAGTGTTAAATTAAGAAAATTTGGAAAACGTTAAATTCTTAATGAGCAATTTGTTGTTGAAATTATTTAATTCAAATACTTTGAGAAAGTGTTAAAAAGCATTCCTTATATATTCGATACTAAATTTACACTCCTGAGAGCATATAATCCTGACTGAGTGCTTTTAATCAATTTAATTACTCAAAATACACTCTTAATTTCTATAAAAAGAAATTAAGAGAATTTGCAGACTTGGTCGATTATCTTTAGAACTACTCTACCGAATTTAATGAAATTTGATACAATACAAAACAAATAATAATTCAACAACATTTGTAATACACTCGTTGGAGTCGGAAGGTATGAAGCAGCGGTAGCAGAATAAAAAAAAAGTTTAATCGGGGGAATTGCCTTCTTAAAATATGGCAGTCATTCTTGTGGCAATTGGTCTCACTCCTTCAGCAACGCTGTTTTCATTTCCTGGATGGTTCTTGGAGGGAGTAGCGAGTTGCAATTGCCCATCCCAGACATGCTGTATTGTATAGGGTTGAGGTCTATATATCCAGCTGGCCAATCTATCCGGCAAATATTCCCATTCTCTAGAATTTCGTGGACCAGAAGAGCTCTATGTGGCTTCGTGTTATCGTCCATTAAAATGAACTCAGGGTCAACTGCACCCTTGCAGAAGACCTCATCCCTTTACCTAACACCAGCCACAGAGCCTTTTTCAGAGATATAGAGAGGTGTGCGACCATCCAACATGATGTCTGCCCAGACCATTAAACCTGCTCCGCCATAATGGTCGACTTCGCGGACATTGGAGGGTAGGTAGCAGGTCTCTGGCTCTCTCTATATGAACGGACGGCGAGAATTGGTGTTTAGACTGAGTCGGGACACATCAGTGAAGAGAACGGTCGTCCAATGATTCTATGCTCTCTGCATCACGCTGAACGGACTCTCCTGTTCGTAAAAGTGCGCGGGGCGTAAACAGCAGGTCTTCTTGCAAATAACCATCTTTCATGAAGTCGTTTGGAAACAGTCACCCTTGATACACGGGTTTTTGTGGCTGCATACAAGCCATGAAAGAGCTGAGAAGCTGTAGCCCCTCTGTTACGCCTTGCTATAATGGACAAATGGCGATCTTCTCTGTTAGTCGTGGCTCTCGGATGACTTTGACTAGGCTTTCTCTCTATGGATCCGGTATCCTGGAACAGTTTCCATTAGTTACTCACGACGCTGAGATAGGCTTGCTTCTAGCCTCCCCACAATTGGCCACCTCATTCCATCATCTAAACGTTGGTCGTTACTGATTATTAAAGTTACAATTTGAATTGTGGTTACTCAATTTAATTTTACTGTTATAATTTAACCTATTGCTCAAAAATAACGCAAGAAATTCGCCGAGGTGTGCTAGCGAATGAAATAGGTCTTAACTTATACGCACTAATAAAGCTCTTTTCTCTACTGGCTCTGTCTAAGGCTCCTATACTATACTCCGGTCTAATTCAGGGGCTCTAGCTCTGTCTACACACATGCGTACGCATTTGATGTACAAAATTTGCATATTTGTTTAGAAGATGGTGGTGGCTAATATAATCAAGAAAACAGATTTTTTTTTTTCAGAAACTATTTTATCATGATCATGCAAAGTCTTTTAAAATTATTTTGCATTTTGTTAATGTAAATAGTGCTTAAAAAGTACTTTAAAGGTACTTATTTTTTGTTGAGAGATTTGGCTACGCACCCTGATAAATTAGGAAAGATAAAACTTGAAATTCATATGTAACTCCGTTTCTTAAAATCAAAAAGAACATTATATAATTAGATCTATTTGACTTTTAATTCTAGAAATTCAACAGGGTTCCTACACTATTTTGAGAAAACAATATCCTGACTTTTGCATGTTTTTCCTGACCTTTTACAATAAAATTCCTGACCCGCCGTTTCCCACTCCAACAAAACTTTTAACATTGCAGTTTCAATTAGTCATAATATGCTACTTAGTCATAAGTATCATATATTGAATAGGATAAACACTTATATATATTAAAGTGGAATTGCGCAATAGCCCTTTATATCCAAATTATATTTTCAGAAAACTTGTGAAACATATTTTTAACTATCATGATTAGTTTAAACTTTTAGTGTGTTTTTGTAGTTGGATATGAAAACTATTTAAATAAAAATATCAAGAAAATCTGTTGGATTATGGAAATATTATTTCATTTAATGTTAAGTGGAACCAAATGCATGAGTGTCGTCAGGATATAACGGGTTAATCTGCGAGATATGTATCAGTATCCTCAAATAATATTTACTCTTGAAACATACTAGAACATTTGTTACATTAAGTTATAAATTTTCAAAAATCACCAATTCACTTCAAACTGACTTTTCTTTTAAAAGATAATATTGAAATATAAAGGGGAAAAAAGTCAAGAAAAGTTAATTATATGCAAATAAAAAATCAGATAGAAAAATTATGCAACTTGTGAGAAAAATAAAATCAAAAATATCTTTTTTTTTCAGTATTTTTAAATTTATTTCTGTAATACTGTAAGCTTCCGGAGAAACTCAGGGGCTCCTCAGTAATATATTTCTCAACATGTTTTGTTGTTTGACAATTTCTGAATTAAGAACATCCAGTTCTGTTGCAGCAGTTTTCCTCAATTTAGATTTTCTTAATTTCAAATCATCTATCTTTTCTTTTATTCGTTTTCTAGAAATTTCAGCTTTTTTTTATTCTCTTCGTTTTTCTTTTTGGCTTCTAATGAATGTCTAAAACCTTGTTCTAGATCCTTTTACAGCATCTAGCATTTTTTCATTAATGTCTATGCTTTTTATTCTATTTATAAATGAAACACAATCATACATGTGCCAACGCCTTTGTGAAATAATAGAGTCAGGGGTCAGTCTAGGTTTTTCTGAGAGGTACCTATTTTGTGAAAATTTAGACATAATTTGTGAATAAAATAAAAATTATATTTAAAAATCAACACAAAAATATGGATTTATCATTTCTTAAGGGATAATAAAATAAAATTTTAAGAAAGTATTTTGCGAAACTACCGTTTTTCCTAAAGTTGAATTTGTGAAACTACCGTTTTACCTAAAATTGAATTTGGGAAGGTACCGCTAAACGGTAGTAAATTCAGAATGGGCAGACCCCTGAGAGTCTTCATTGAGGTTTTCAACCAATAAGCTTTTATTGATTGAAAACCCCCCCTTTGACTGTTGCGTTACCATGAGAGAGGATAAGAACAATTTTTATAACCTCCTGCATATTTTCAAAATTTTTTTCTCCCTGCAAATATTTCAAATTTTTTTTATCTAATCTCTTTTGCTGTGGATTAAACTCGAAGAAACTCTTTTGCTCTTTTTTTTGATAGCATCACAAAACAGTGAAAATTCCTTTTTTTGCTTTTTCTGCTGTTGTCTGTAAACCAGTTATTCATACGAAGAACAATAAACCTAGCAACCCTATCAAAAATTCCTTATCATTGGATAAACAGGAGGAAAATTGCTAACAGGACAGGTTCTACCAGGGAAAGAGGAATGTTATTATGAGAAAATTACATATTTTAAATTACAGAATTTTTCCTTGAAACTTTATTTTTGCCAGTCAGTCTTTTAATGAACTATAGTTTTTTTTTTAATTTTCCTAACTTTATGAATATGTAAGAAAAATCCTGACTTTTTAGCTTAATTTTAGAATATCTAGACTTTTGCAGGTTTTCCTGACCGTGTAGGAACCCTGTTCAATTCATATATTAAAAGAAAATTGTGCAAAATAATAAAACAAATTTTCCTCTAAAAATTATTAAATTTCGTAGCTGGCAAATATTAATATTGATGAAATGGTACAGAATCAGCATTTTATGGTTCTTCATAACACATGGTTGTGTTTACTATTTAGTTTTAATTATTAAAAAATGTAAACAAGCCTTTATTAAGTGCAAACCTTTATTAAGAGGTTCCTTGAAACTTTTTTTTTGCTTTGCATTACATCATATTTATCTTTACTCTTTCAACTATCAAAACAAAATGTTTTGCTTTTAAATCAATAAAAAAAAAAAAATATCTGAACCAAGATAATTATTTTACCTTTTATTTTCTTTGTTTTAGGGGGCCTTACAAAAATGCATTAGCTTTTTTTCTTCTTCTAATTTCAATTAAGATATCAAAATGTGAGTTTTTTTTTAAAGATATGTGGACTTATGTAAAAAAGTTCCACAAGGCACGGCAATAGCACTATACACACTTACCTAGGACTAGCTTTAAATTTAAAGTAATTTTAATGCTTTTTATCCATAAATATTCAATATATTCATATAAATATATCCCATGATTTCCAATAAATATGCCCAAACTATTAAAGATAATAAATGTAAGGCTAGGAATTTTAATATTATATCAAGGAACATTCAATTATCAAATGAAAATTAACTACAACAAAATAGGCAAATTTTGGAAGAAAATAGTCAGGCATAATTTATTTCTCAGTAACTTTTGAGCATATTATATAAACAAGTGAACAAAACAAAATTGAAAACAGAGTCCTTTTAATAGCAATAAAAATAAAAGTCGTTTTTGATAAACTTGTTATCAAACACTACAATGTTAGAAGGAAAATAACTTTCAAATGCTTAACAATTTCAGAATCTCATTTTTTGCTTTTATCATCTTTTTTAGGGGAAGCTTTTTTATCTTTAGGATTATCTAGATTTCCAACAGCATTTCGTACTACTTCGCTTTGAGGGTCCACACCAGGTAAATTTCTAAGCACACTTTGCAAGAACTCAGGATCATCCATGACTTCTTGAAGATCTTCTTCTTCATCCTACGTGGAGAAAAATTTTAGATGAAAGCAAGATTTTTATCATATATATATATGTATATAGCAAAATAAATAAATACAAAAAAACATGAAGAAAATCTAGAAAAACAATGTTTCATTTATCATATTTACTGTTATATTTCATTTCAAAATTTTTTTAAAAAATCCGGAAAATAAAAGATATCTTTTCATCAGCCCACACGATTATATCCGCAAAAAAGAGTGCTTTCTAATATTGTATCAATAAAATTTTTTTTACAAAAATTACAACAAATAAAAAATAGAATACAATAAGTAAAAATAACATGTAAAAACAGAAAATAAAATATAAAGAAAACACAGAATAAAGCATAATCTATAGAGCGAGTAGCGAATTCAAATGAACTTACATGAATGGGAAATTTTACAAGAATGATTTAAAATATTTTCGTAACTGTTTTCAGACTGCACTGAAGTTTTGAAAATCTCAATTAGATAACTGCACAATACATAAAAATCATGGTTTTTCTAACAACAAACAGTGCCTTCCAGAACACTTTGAGTTTTTTTCTTTTGGTATCAATTATAATATAAATAAATGTAATCTAAATAGCCTTGGTATAATTTATTTTTATAAAAAACTGAAGCATTCATGCAGGATTCCCACCCAATTTCAGAAAAAAATTTCCTGACTTTTCCAGGTAAATTTCAATGAAAATCCATACCATATTTTATCTATATTACGAAATTTTTCATCAGAAAATTTGGATTCTTTTATTTGTTATGCCAAGTATTAGATTTTTTGTGTAAAATAAATATCATTTTATGAGGAAGGAAGCATTTCAGTAGGTCTAAAATGTAAAATTTTTACAATAAATAATTGTAATGGAGGTTAGAATTATTTAACTCGAATCTCTATAACTGAGTATTGTTATTGACAATTTTAAGACTGGTTTTTTCCCAAGAAAAATGAAGGAATTTTCCAGGATTTTGTAAGAAAATTGCAACATTCCCTGACTTTTGGAGTTGAAATAAAATTCCCTGACAATTCCAGGCAATCCCTGTTCTCCCTGACCCGTGGGAATACTGTTATGTTCTTCCTGTGAAATTTTGTTATAATAAAATTATGAAAAATTATACTCAATGAATAATCCAAGGTCTAATAAATTACCTTTGTTTGATCTTTATCATCTGTTTCCATAGGAACATTAGACTCATCTTCTCCTTCAGAACCATCACCTAGGTAAAATCAATAAAAATTAAAAGTGAATTCATTTATTTTAAGTTTTACATAAATAGAACACAAGAAAAATTCCAGACCAAGTTTAAAAATATTGCATACACAACTTTTTTTTAAAATTTTAATAACAACCTCTATTGGTAGCAAAAACCCTCTAGCACAGCAATGGGTGCAGTGGATTATTATAGCATCTTCAGAATAATTTAGCCATTTTAAATTCAAAGATCTTATTTCAATACAAGTCCTATGCAACGAGTTACTTTACTTCATACTTACTGCTTACAATGATAGTGCTATAAATTGCCCATGTAAATTTATGTAATCAGGATCCCCCCAAAACTATTACTGATAATGGAAAGAAACATCTCGGTTAATTCTCTTTGGCATGAATTTAAGCACATTTTATAAACAAGTTCAAATTTCATCTCTGCAATTGCTTTGTGGTCTGATAGTAATGTACTTGATTAATAACAGGACTTTTATAGTTTGATTCCAGCTGTGAATCAATATTTGTTTCTCGTTTCCAATAAAATATATTTAAAAATCTACTGTTACAGATATTATTAATTAACAAACAATTTTATTTTATTTATTGTGTATATATATATATATTGTCTGCTATTAACTTATGTTATGAAAGCCAGTGGAGGTTAATTTAATTTTGTTTTTTTAAATACTTTGCACAGTTGTATTCAAGCAACTGTGTATTTTGTGCTTCTGTGATTTTTTTTTAAAAGCTGTATGTAACCAAAATTATACATGTTGTGTATATTCTGTAAAGATAGCTTTCATTTGTAGTTAAATGTATATAAAGCATGCATTTTACAATATCTAAAAAAAAGAAAATNTACAAAATATATATATATATATTTTTTTCTTTTTTTTTGAACATTAGACATTGCTTAATAGTTTAAGTACAGTAATTCAATTCCTTTTTTCTTTAATTGTCTTAATTCTTATATAAATTTGAGATATATTAATTTAAATTATCTTAAATCTTTATCTTTTTTAATATTAAACTATCTTTCAAAAAAATAATAACGGTTAAAATATTTGTATTTATAAATAGTGCTTATATAATTAAAAAGTTAACTTTTATCTAGAAATTTTATTCTTAAAACAAGAATCTGAATTGTAGCTATTACAAAAAGCCTGAAAATAAAATAAAAAATTGACACATTGCACAAATTTAATTCATAACTGAAAGGCGATTGTATACATTAACATTCTTGAACCTGATCTGCTGGAAAACATACTTAATTAGCCTTTAAAGACATAATTAAAAAAAAAACTTTTAGCAGTTTAAAAGCATACCATGCATATTTTATATTATTCTTGATCTCTCCATTACTTGTGATCTTCAGTTTTTGATAAAATATGTTAGATAAGCGAAATCTTTCTGGACGTTAATGAAGTATGCTTTTGAGCAGATTAATTAAAAAAAATTTCATGTAAATTTTTTTTTTATTATTTATGCGAAATGCCAAACTATTTTTTTTTTTGTTGTTGTCACTGTTTTTATGATAAATATCATCTATATTCTAGTTTGGAAAAAAAACAAAACAAAAAACATGCAAATAAAAATTGTGAATAGAAAGTCTAACTTTTAAAAACTTCATTTTAAAAAGAAATAATTAAGATAGAATAAAATTATTGAAATTTTATCATAAAATAACATTTAATAAATAAAATAATTTACATTTCAATATATTTGTTAAACAATAGATTTATTTACTATAATATTTATTAAAAATGGGACAAAAAAAAGTGATCCTGAACCACAGTGCAAATATAAAAAATAGACCACCTTGAAAAACTTTTGAGCTAAGGATCAGATCTTCACGTTCGAGGACTCAATCTTAAAAATTCAAGGGGTGACCTTAAATATGCTAATTCGTGCAGACACTATTTTAACTTGCGAAATCAGACTCACACTTGCATTTTCTTTAAATAAACATGCTTTTTCTGTTGTTGACGGATTTGGATTTTTGACCCCCAAGATATAGGTGGTAGCCTTGATCTGGAAAATAGAGTTGCAATAGTTTGGACAGGAGAATGGCCAAAAGATTGTGCCTCTTAATGTTAATTTCATTTTAAGCATATTTTGCCATGTCTCGAGAAATTAAGTAAAGAAAAATGTTTGCACATGATTGTCGAGTTAAAAATACATCCATGAAAAATTTACTTTTAGTAAACATTTTTATTATTTGCATAGCTGCCAACTCTCCCAGTTTTCTCATAAAATTTTATCTTCATATTTAAAGTGGAAGCAAAACTTATTTCATTTCGTTAATAGATGATTTTGACCACCACTACATATAAATAATTACAATGAATATCCAAAAGCATAATAGTCTTTTAGAATAGCGAATTTCAAACTAGTCAAAATATAAATACAATATTGTTGAGTAAGATTGATTTTTGGTAATTTGTTTTACAACCACTTGGAAAATCTATTCTCAGAAAGAGTGAAAGTTGACAAATATATATTTCATTTAATAGTAGTCAGAAAATTTTTGAATATTAAGATGTAAAAATTTTTACAGTATTTTAAAAGGCAAAATACAAAACTTGAGCAAAATTGGCAGAAAAGTTTCTGAGAAACTGAATTTAGAAAAAGTTGCATTCTTAAAATTCAATTTCTCAGCATATATTCGACCCATTTTGTTCAAATTTTATATTTTGCATTTAAAAATACATTTTTTAAAATGATGTAAAAATTGCTTATCTTACAATTCAAAATTTTTCCAATTATTATTAAATAAATAAATAATAGTAAATGCTTACTATAAGTTATTTTTTGCACGGGATTATCTTGGCCTTTGAATTATCTTTGGTTAAACAATTTTTGTGCACAAATTTTTCAATTCTCTTCAAAATATCTCGAGATATTGTGAAAGACATAAACAATAAAATTAACATTAAGGAACCCAAGTTTAGAACCGTTCTCCTGACCAAACTATTTGCACCATATAACCCAGATGACGATTACCCCCTGTATATCTTACCTTGTATACCTGTATATCTAAAGGGTCAAATATCTAAGTCCATCGATAAAAGGATATGTTTAATCAGAGGAAGCACATTTTTGGGTATGATTTTGTAACTTAAATAATTATTGGCACAAATTAATTAGCAAAATAAAATGTGAAAATTTCAAAGAGAATTTAAGATACCTACTGAAAAATGCAAAATAGAAAAGCCAAGCAGTTAAGATTAATTTCATTTGTTGAAATTATGGGTGAAAGTACTTAATTGGAGGTAAGGCTTTTCCGTTTTTTTTTGGGGGGGGGGATTTTATTCTAACATAATACGAAACTATTGATATGCAATAACAATTTTATTATATTAATAATTCACGTAATTTTATTACAATAATATATAATAAAATGATTTAAAAATAAGAATCTCACACACATTCTCTAAAATTAGAAATTTATGCTTGAACATTGCTATAATAGATATGTTTATTTTTAAATATATAGATGTATGTTGAAATATATAGATGGACATTTAACTCTCAAAATTATTACAAAGTTGCCATAGTTGAAATTAGAAGTAACAGTCAAAAGTAGATTGTTTAGCTTTTAACTATTACCAAACAAATTATTTTTCTCTTTATATATTTTGAATACATTTTTTATTTTTAATTATTACGACACTCCAAAAATAATAATTTAATTTGCTAAATTAGTAGAAAAAAAAAACTTCTAAAACTCTGCAGAAGGTTATGATTTTCTACAATATTTACACATCAATTTCTCTTCAAAAATGAAATTGTTAGACTGAACTATTGATTTCATAATGCACAATTTTATACTAAAGTGCAATCACATTAAAGATAAACTGCGTATACCAAGCAGTTACTAAACAATAACTTACGTGCATGCTGTAAAGACATCTGCATTGCATAAGCAATCTGTTCTTCTTCAGTCATTGCAGCAAAATCAGGAATAACTGGTCCAGAAGATGGAGGTGCTTCAGTATTGGCTAAAGACATAGCAACAGCTTGCTCAAGCAAAGCTTCTTCATTACTGTCTAAATAGAAAAAAAATTACAGATATAAATACATTTTCAATCTCTTCCTCACACTAAAATCAATAATATTCACTAACTTGAGTGTTTTCAAAGATCACAAGAAAATGCTTTGGATTTCTTATAATTCAAACATGAATGATTCTCATCATACTATTAATTTGTATTACTGCAGTCTATTACAAAGCATTTATATTAAAATTGTATCTTTTATTTTGGTTAATTCAAACACCACAGCATACCTGCCAACTCTTACGGATTTTTCGGAAGATTTTATTTTCATATTTAAAGTGGTAGTAAATATATACTATTTTTTCTTTTATAATTTTAATTTTTAAATGATTTTGATCACCACTATTCTTAAAAAAATTAAGCACATATATCAATATGCGTTACTATCAGGGTTGTCAACTTAAGTTTTCTCAAATACAACGTATTTGTTTGCTTAAAATTGAAGTTTTAATTCCATTTTAATACCACTGGGAAAAATTATAATGGAAGGGATTAAAAGTTGGCAGGTATGCCACAGCGTCCAAAATTAGGGTACTTAAATGCGTGATTGGAACTTTTTGTGCCATAATAATATTGACAGTTTAAAAAATCATTAATATCAATAACTGAGCAAATAAAAAACATTGAGACTTTAAAAAAAAACGAGTGAAAATTTAAAGCAATAATTGGCAAAAAAAAATCTAAACACTATATGTTTACAATGGCACATATGCATATAGTGTTTTGTATGCTACATTTGTATACAACAAATCTGAATTTCACATCTGCAACAGTCAGTCATATTTTATTAATATATAAAATATGTTCTCAAAAAATTGTTTCTAGAGCAAATTACTATTTGAACTTTTATGATTTCGAAATTACTCTTTATATTATAAATTTGAAACTCGAGCTAATACCAGTCATATATTTTATTTATTTATTTATTATTAATATTTTTTTTTTGTCTGTGGTGCATCAAAAGGAAAATTAAAAAAAACAGGAGCATTCATTCAACACCTCAAAGGCATCATTTGATAATTCTGTAGCAGAAAAAACTTCTTTTGAAAAGTTCTGCCGAAAAGAAAATCAAAATTATTTGCTTCCCAAATAGAAAAACCTTTCTGTAAAAACTCTGTAACACTCCGCTACAATGTCGACAGAATTCTACCAAGGATCAAAGTATATCATGGGCTGCCCAGACAGGGCAGCCTCATAAGCTTTTTAAAACCTTTATAAATTATTCTCAATTACAAAATGTCCGCCTTTAAAATCAGAATGTCACAATTGTTACTTGCTAAGAGAATGGAATAACCACAGCTTTGGTGCCGCACAAGAGCAGTACAGGGTTCATACTCTTTCTAAGAAAGTAAATTTCAGGAGTTTCTAAGGAGTTTTTCAGGAGTACAATACAATAAATTCAGGAAGTGAGAGGGAAAATTATATACTTAGTATAATTTTAATATAGCTATTTATAAAATTAAATTTAAAACATTAAAAAAAAAAGCACAAAATAGTAAATTAATAAAAAAAGTATCTTAAAATATTATTTCTTTTAAACACTTTTTAAAGACATATGTCTTATTCAATTCTTCTTCACATATTTTAAGCTCAGACATTTTTTCTTTAGCACAATTTTTGAACAATAAACATTTTAAATGAGGTGCTTTGACAGAGATACCAACTTTTTGAACCAGCTATGAGTAATTAGAAAGTACAATAATACAGAAATATATAAAGAATTTACAAAACTGGAATCAGCAAAACTTTAAGGTGTATGTACTACTTATTTCTATCATGGGAATATAATATCAATAATGCAGAAATTTACTATTAAAAAAAATAAATGAATATTTAGATACAGGTACTTAATTAAAAATTATACAACACTAAAACTTTATAAATCATTACAAAATGGTGAAATTAAATTAATTAATCGGAATCAGTGTTTTAGTCTTTGGTTAAATTAGAACTAGCCCTCACTGCCTTAGAACCATTAAAAAATTTTATTCACAATATTTCAGATTTGAACTTGTTCTTTTGCTTTTCTATAAGGAGGGATAATTCAGTTTGAGGGAGGGTAGAAAGAAGATTTCTTTACATTTTTTTAAAATTCTTGAAAAACCATAATCTTGACTATGAAATCGTAATAATTATGGATAAATCAAAATAGTTGGCACCTTGCTTGGACATACGAGTACACTTAGATTTAAAAACTTGAATATCGGACAAAACTTGAATATTAACAATTGAATTGGTTAATTTTCAAGAAAATGGTCATAAAAGTGCCTATTTTGCCGAATACACGTATTTGATTAGTGCTGACATCTAGTTTAAAAGAAATGAACTACAATTACCTTCAAAAAATATCTTGGTACTGCCATCTGGTGCGTAAAATGAGGAATAAAATGTTTTCTGGACAAAAGAAAGTAATCAGTTTTATTCTTATTGGCGTGTTACTTCGAGGGTGAGGGTGAAATCTCACCCCGTCATTTTCACGGAAGCGAGAAGGAAGGGGTTAAGAGTATAATTGACCAAGTGAGCCTTACCATCAGGAGGGTTTTGCCCAGCAGACTCATTGCTAGTAGCAGAAACAGTCCTTCTAGCTTCTTCCTCTTGTCTTTGCCTTTGTTCTTCCATAGAAACTCTTAACGCCTATGGTAGAAAATAAAATAAAAATATCTTAAAAATTTAAAACCATATGCTCTTAAATAACTCCAGTTGACAATACATAAAATAGAGAAAAAATGTGATTGTAAGTAGTTAAATATGATTATTATAACAACCATTAACTTTTAGACCTTTCAATGTTTTATTTTTACTAAAATATTAAAACAATCTCTATGAAAGAACAATAATCCCGTTGCATCTAAACCAGGTTGAGAAGAAAAAAACTTCATTCAGAAATTTTGCTTTACACAAAGATATTTATCTAATCAATGTATAAGGAAAAAAGAACACAAGGTACATAAAAAAAATGGCATTTTACAGTCCCAATTACTCTTTAGAAACAAAATCGTATTTTTGTGAAATGTTCTTAATTCATCCAATTGTGTTTGAATTGAACCAGCGAATTGTCATGTTCTTTGTATGTCAACCAGTAAGAAAAATTTCCAACTTCGTTTTTTATTTCTACGAACAAAACTTGACTAAATTAAAAAGTAATTTTTGGTGGTTATTACTCTATAAGTATAACATACATATGTATTTGACTTTAAAAAAAAACTTAATAAATAAATCATATTACTTACAAGAGCTAATTCTGGGTCTTCATTGGGATCCACACCAAATTCATATCCCATACCTCCAATTCCAACTGCTCCACTACCATCTTCACCTTGAACTACAGGAGAACTGACCAATGCATCAGAGAGATGAGGTCCAGGTGGTACAGTAACAAGATGGGATCTGAGAAATGCAAATGCTACATTACATACATTTGATAACTTATTTACTCCCAAAAAGTAATATTCAAATATTCTTACTCAATACATTCAAGTACTCAAAAAGTAAAGTAAAAAAAAAAAGAAATTATTAATTTAAATTAATGACTTTCAACTAATGAACATTATTTTCAAACTAGTGGTCAAAGATTCCTTGGGGGTTCACTCTGTGTTTGTGTATACACAGACCGTTGTGAATATTATTACAATTATAAAAAGAATAAATTTACCTACATACATTTGCTGCACTGTCACTAACTCAAAAAAGCTAATTTATCTTTTCTAGATGAAATTTAGATTTATTCTCTCAGACAGTATTTTATACAGTAGAACCTGTTTATCAGAACGTTGATTAACTGAATTGTTCAAAGACCCTGCAATTTTTACCTGCCTTAACCAAAAAAAAACTGTTTTTTTCTTCTCCCCCACATACAATAAGAGTCGTGCTATTTACAATTAGGGTATACATGTGCAACAAAAACTCTGAGGTTCAAAACTATAACAATATGGAAAATTGTAAAAAAGTTTAAGCTATACACAGTACACACAGTTTTTAGGGTGCAGATAAATTTTTAAACAGATCTATGCATAATGACTATAAAAGCATAAATATTACAATTTGAAAATATTCTAAATGTCATGAGAATAATAAAATCTAGATTTTTTTTTTTAAACTATATATTTACGACACTAAATACTTGAGTAATTACTTTTTGGTGCCCTCTATTCGTAAGAATTTCATTGATGCAAAATACCATGGTCTTTTGGCAGTTTTTCAGAAGTTAACACAATGGGTATTCAAATCCTGATACCTTACATCATTTTGTTACACCGATTTTTTTAAAGCTCATATGGTTTTTTGAGCAATTATTACAATGTAGTTCCTAAGATTATTAAAATGCCGTAATAATACAAGATTTAGACACATTGACTTGCAACAAATTTTATTTCAAATTTAAGTTTTTCTTTTTTAATCTTTTTTTCCAGCAGTTTTTGAAATCTTGATTTTTTCTTTCCACATTAGAAACTTGAATCACACATTTGAACTAGACTCATGGTATTAGACTTCAATCTAACACCTTAGCAACTGGATGAATGTTGGAGACAGGGCTGCGGCTTCAATTTTGGGGATGCTCTTCAGGCTCTCAGTGGACTTTGGGGTACACTTCCAATGGATTCCATCACACATTGGAATCAAAGGTAATGAGATGGCGGACTCACTGGCTAAAGATGCTTCTTTGGAACCTTTACAGCCAGATTTACCTTCCACTGTCATTGAGGTCTTTACAGAGTGCAAAAATTTTTTTATGGGCCTCTAGAGGGTTCCACCTCCGCATAGTTGGTATTTCAGAAAATGACCTGGAAGTGCCTTGCATTTTGAGGGACCTAGAAACCAGCAGACTTGTTTATCTCGCTTTGCAAGTGGTCACTTGAGGTGTCTCTCGTATGTTCAGGGGCAAAAGACTTTTGGACTTTGCACTAAATGTAGGACTGCTCAGACTTCGTCCGAGCATATTCTAAACTGTATCGATTTTAAGATCGACGAGGTTTTTTCAAAACCTCAACTGTTTTTAGACTTTCTGGACATTTTTGGACTTATGGATTTGGTCTTATTGTGATGGACCTCATGGGGATTAGAAACAACAACAACACACATTTGAGTAGTCATTTTTTAATATGCTCAATACACAAATACTTTATCGCAAATGTGGTTTTCTCTGTCACTTTTTCTGCAGCTGTTCATGTGAAAACTTGTAGTGTCTCATGTTTCATATGAAACACTACAAATTTTCACATGATTTTTATAATTCAGATACGAAGCAATAGTATAAATGACAAAATATGGTAATGTTTCAAGTGAGGAGATTACTAGTTTATTATGCACAAGATTTTAGCAACATTTGATAAGGACTTGGCATTAATCACCATTTTGTTACCCTGCTTGTGTGAACCCCAGTTAGAAGACAGAAGAAGGATAAAAATTCAAAACAAAAAATAATATTTTTAAAAACCACGTTTTTGTAGTGGAGAACAATAATTAAAAAATAAAAATTTGAAAAACGAAAAACGTGGGGCGCAGGAAATACATAACAGTACAAATGTGGCGTAACTACCACTATAAATAGTAAATACCAAATCAATAGTATATAAGACGTATTAACTTGATTCTATCTTGAGGTACCTTTTGATAGATGAAGGTTGACACAGTCGATAATTAATTCCTCACAGTGGTGACCCGGACGTGATAAGAAATTGTCAATATTGATGGATGAATCCACAATAAACAGTTGATTTGCTTTAAAAAAATATACTGCTAAAAAAAAAATGAAGAAGAAATCCGGTGAAGTAAATAAAAAGTCTCCCGGTTAATAAATAATAATGAGCGAAATGCTAGAAAAAAATAATAATAGCGAAAANATTTTAAATTAGGGATACAAAAATCTTTATAGAAAAACAATACCTTTACGACTTTCATAAGTTTTATGCTAATGACAACCAAAACAATCTGGAAATGAATGAGGAAAAACTGGATCCTACCACGTGATTTTTCAGCCAATAAAAATACTCCGACAATAAAAATCTTTTCCCCTGACATGTAATACTAATTTAAAATAATGAAATCGACAACAAAAGACAATCTCGAATTTTTTTTTTAAATTTTAATTTTATTTTACTTTGTATGTCTTTTTTCTTTTCATTTTCATGCATTATCACCCAATTCTGAACTATGTGCCGAATTTGAAGTTTGTAGCTAGTCGGGAAGTTAGTTTAAAATCGATTACAAAATTCCACCCGGACAGACATACACGAAGGCAAGTTTATATAAACGTGGTAAAATGGAAACAATGTAGCCCTTTTGAACAAAAAAAATAAAATAAATAATAATAATAATAATAAAAGGCTGAGAGAAGTGAAAAATCACTAAAAATTGAATTTTAAAGGTTTAGATAGTTCACTATATCCTTTGGTGTCGCAAAACATTCATACATATATACAGTGATACCTCTTGGGAGCGATCACTCTTTGTTCCACAGTAAAATGGTCGTTAATGGAGGTTGGTCATTCTTAGGGGTTACTTATATTCACTTCAAAAAGCCATCGAAGGTACATGATTTTTTGTAAACAATTTTAATTTTAGTCAGTGTTACTTTCTTGGTGTGGAAATGCCGCTTGTGTTGAGGTCATGAAAATCGAATATTTGTATAAAATTTAGCATCAATAAAAATGATCCATACAGGTATAATAATGTGTAAAAACAAATTTACCAATTATGAATGATAGAACCATTTTAAATAAATAAACAATTATGTTTTTCAATTTAAGTTTGCATTTAATTTTATACCTTTAAAATTAGTTATCTTTAAAAAATGAGAAGTTTCTTTGCTTCTTAACTTTTTTTCCCTAACTTAACTTTCAACTCTAAAAGTAAATCGTTGATAGTATTGTCTTTAGCGCACTCTGACTGCAGTATGAGGTTGTCAAAAAGAGAGATCGTCAAAAGAGAACTCTTTCGGAGATCATCAAAAAGGGTCTTTAAATTAAAGTTTGAATACATTTTAATCTACGTATCTTTTGTTTATAAATTTTTTGTGTTTCTCTTTTTGAACTTTTCCTCACTTGGTGTACAAGTTTTCCCGGTCACTGGGGGAGGCTTTAAAGGTCTCTCCAGAAGGTTTTCTTTAACACAAAGTCTATGGAAGAAATTTCATGTCTTCTACATTTTTGTACACAAAAGCATGAATATCAAAATTTTTATTGAACGTGATATACATCAAGACAAGCTAAAATAAGTTCACTTTATTAATCCATTATCTCCTAATTAATGAGTACTAATAAGACCATGCGATAGATTTTTATCTGAAAAGTTAGATAACTTTTCATGACAAATTTCTTAATAAAAGTAATGAATCACTACCGAACAATTTTAATTTATGTGTTAGGTCGTTCATCATAAATAATAATACAAAGTATTAACAAAACAAAGGATAAACAAAGAGTCAAATTATTTAAGAAAATATTTGATTAAGAAAATATTTATTTTTGCTTCATGATATATATCAATTTATAAAATTCAAATATGTTAATTTATTAAATCAAATAGACGAAAAAAAATATTTTTTAAATATATTAATAGTCTTTAATTTTTTAAGTAATAGCACAACATTACTTAGAAAAAAAAAACTAGAAATGAAGACTTTCTAATTAATTTTGCATTCAAATAGGGTTATAAAAAAATTTCTACTTACCCAGTACCATCTTTTCCATTTAGAGTATTAATAAACAATGTTAGTTTATCTGTATTGACAGCCTATAAAAAAAAAGATAAAATAAAAATAATAAATCGATAATTAAAAAATATATATAAAAAATATTTTTTTTTAATAAAATATTTAAGATATTTCTTTTTAATTAAATTTTTCGTGGAGAAAGAAAAAAAGTAAGCTTTAGAAAAATCTGTTTAAACTTAACTTATTTAAAGGGAAAAAAAAAAACATTCATAATTGGCTGGTTAAACCTTACTAATTTAATTTTTAACACTTAAATGCTCATATAATGTTTAACTTAATTTATAATGTTAAACTTAAAATTATTTAAAAAAAAGTTTAAATAGTATTTAAGTACTTTGTGTTACTGATAGTGAAGTATGATTTTAAGAAAATATTCAGTATAAAAATTCAATTTGACAATAGAAGGGGCAATATGCTCATCTCACATCTATATTGTCTTACTTCGAAAAAAAAAAATTATTTTTACATATCTTTAAAATTTGAAATTGTTGATAATTTTAGAAATACTTTATTGAAATACTCTTTAATTTTTCAAGCAAATTATACACCAAATTCTTCTGTGAATTACTCGATTATACTTACATCTTCCCCAAAATTAACAATGTCTACACAAACTTTTTCTTTCTTGAACTTCTTAGCTAATTTTATGATCTGAAAAAAGTTTTTAAAAAATTATCATTTAAGTTTTGTTGAAACAAAAAATAATAAATAAAATTAGCATCACTTTTTGAACAAAATTTTAAATTTTAGTTTCACTTCAAATTTGTAATATAGCAAAAGCATTTTGCAAGTGCACTTTTGTACTTATGTCATAAATAGCTACTAAATATGAACACTTCCTTCACATAGCAAATTAACAACATTTAATTTAAATGCAGATTTTCTTGTCTTAATAAGTTATAAATTTAAAATCTCTATTTTTAGATTAAGTAGAATAACAGTACAATATGGAAAGCATAAATATTAAATAAGCAGGAAAACCGTTGAAAGTTGGAGCCTTTTTGGAGTATTCAGGGTATCTCCTACATTTCAGATTTTCAAATTCATGACTTTCCATGAGTAATTCCAAAATTTTTAAAAAGTATTATAATAACATTCATTGAAATGATAAGTATAATCAAAACTGTTACACTCTGCATCTTCATATTTATAGATTTTAAATTTGAAAAACAGAGTAAAGAAAGAGTTGTAGCAATAAAATAATTGAAAAAAATACAAAAGCAAAAAAATTTTTTTTTCTTCAGCAGAATTATATTCTAAAGATACTTTTCTTGTTCATTGGAAACGAAAGAAATTCTACTGATTTTTCTGTTCTCATTTCGGAATTTAAAAAAAATTCGCCAATGACTGGCTTGCTTCAATTAGAATTTTAAATTGACAAAATAAAAAAAATAAATAATAATAAAAATTCTGAAATCACAGAAGTTTAAAAAGATAATTCGCTGTAGAAATGACGTTTTTTCTTTCATTTTTTTGAAAGAATATAATTTTTAAAGAACATGAAATTTTTTTTTTATTTTAATAAAATATGACTGTGAGTGGGGATTTTGTTACAAATTCAGATATTTGGAACATCGTAAAAGGGGGAAGAATAAATTCCCTTTTGCAAATTACATTTTTCAGCGACTTAAATCCATGATTTTCTATGATTTCGTTTAAAAAAATGATTAAAATCATGACATTTCATTACATATTTTGTTCAATACTGAAATTCATGACCTTCCAGGTGAGCGGATACCCAGAGTATTCTGCCCCGAAAAGAATTTAGCATACAATTAAAAAACTTGTTTATAAGTAAAAAAAAAAAAATTTTTTTTTTTTTTAATTGTCAGGCATGCAAGTTGACATAATTTAAAGACTACAAAACTTTTATAGAAAAATCTAAAAACTAATTTTTGCCATAGAATTTTTATAAGATTATTTCCCATGTAACAGCTGATGCAATAATGAAATTCTTGTAAAGTAAATCGATGGATAAAAAATAGAAGTGAATAATTTTATTTTATAAACATCTCTGAACAATTTTGTGCAAAGACTACTAACCTTTCACTCCGACCTCACAACCTTTCAAACCACTTAAGTCTCAAACGGGTAGTCTGATTGCAAGGGAATTCTAACCCATGATCCGTCTACCAATGAAGATATTAAACACGAGTACCGTGGACGGTACGAGTCAGGTGTGAAACTGGTGTTCCAGTCATTGCTGGTATCGAAGCTGAGGTACCTCCTTTCGAGGCGAATGAGGCTCAGAAATGAACATGTGTTCAGATCTGTACTTCATTAATTTCCCCCATTCTGTCTAAAGTAATATTATGATGAAAAGAATTGACAAACGGATGTCATTTTCATAATTTTAGTCAATATGTTGCTATTGGAAAAATTATAGAATGGATTTTCTTTTTCATCAATTTTACATAAAATAATTTCATAAAGGAAGATTAAGTATAACATAACAGAAATATTAAGTAAATAATCTCAGGTTTCAGATTTTTTTTTTTTTTTTGAAGGTTCTAAATTTTCGAACCTCTTGAATTCTTTCTCCTGACCCTAGAATTATCTCCTGACCCCATTATTTGGGAACTAGATTGGGATTTTGGGAAAGATTATTTACCAAATTTACTGCAGAGTTCTTGAAAAATAAATAAGGAAATTTTACGATATTTAATTCATAAATGTAATAAAGTTAGTTATTTTAATAATAAGTAACGTATAATTTGTTCAAGTTTCTTCTATAAAACAATCTTTTTAAGTTGAATATTGTTAATTTAAACTTGCAGTGATTCTCCTCATATGTCCTACTGACAACAACATTAAAATCTTACTAGCAGTCCAATCTTTTTTTCTTTTATAAGTTTGGAGTTGTAGAACCCAAGATTTCCAAAATAAAATCTTAGAAAGATGAACAAAATAATTTTTTTAATGTATATAAAGATAAGAAATTACTAATTAATCTATTTTTATAAATTAATAAGGGTTTCATAAAAGTATATTTTTTCACGAGATCAATCAATACTAACCTCCTTATCATCATCATCTATTGGACTTCCTACGAAAATAACTATACGCACTTTGTGATGTTTACCTTGGCGATGCTTTAAAGCTAGCTATAAGGACAAAAATTAGCATAAATAAACATTTTTTAAGCATAATACATTTCTAAAAATTAGGTCTTTTTTTTAAAAAAAGATATTATGCATAAATGGCACGTATTATTGTACAAATAGTAGCATATTATTCTTTTCTTTTCACTAAGAAAAATTAAATTCATCAAAATTACAGAGAAATGCGAAGGAAAAAAAATTAAAATACATAATTAATAATGCAAAAGCGAAATTTCTAAATTTAAATAAGTCTTCTATTTACATGGTGACTTTGCCTGTTTAAAAAAAAATAATTACATCAAATAAGATAATATTTTTTAATTATTCGTTATTACGTGTTATAGTTAGGATAAAACTATTCTCAAAGAGAATTTTTTAAAGAGCTTTGAGATTAATACATATCAAAAGCCTATTTTCATGAACAAAATTATCAGCTTGATTCCCAGTTTGTAAGTTTTTAATATACATATGTCTTTTAATTAGAAAATAAGAAAAACTATATTTTGCATATTAAATAAAAAACTTAAACAGATAAGACATTAAACAACTCACATGTGCGATTCGTATACCAGTACATAGGTTTATATAACCCTTGGGCTGAACTTGATGTAATTTAGATAAAATTTTTCCCACATCTGTAGTTAATGTAGCAAGAACTTCAGGCCTAATTAGAAAAAAAGAAAAAAAAAGGTACATGATTAAATTGTTTATTTATATAATAATAATACACTTAAATATAAGACATCTTTTTTTCAAAAAAAGGAAAATTATGAGCTCTGTTTCAAAGTCTTCAAAATGGATAAAGAATTGAGGATAAACAATAAGAAGATTCTGAAACCAGACTGAAATTTTGAAAACTTAAAGTGAACCGTCGGCTTACGCTATGTCCTTGAGATAATGTATGAACAGGTTTGATATGTTAGGAAATGAATGGTACTTCAGGAATTTGCTTGAAATATGCATTTAAATCTACATGTAGTTTTATGGAATTACAAATACCTTGTATTCCGGAATATAAGTCAGCCACTTAAAAAACTAAATATGAAAAATTTTTAAAATTAAGGAACAGTAAAAAAAAATTATACAAATTTTCTCAAGTTAAAAATATTTCACGCTGTTGTCAATGGATATAATACACATGCACTAAAAAAGATGCTATGAGGCGACGTTTCAAAAGAAGATGCATCAACAAATGCAGTGAGGTATAAAAATTTTGAATTCTTTGAATAGGGGTAACGGCAATTTTTGATGGGACTCAGCAGGATCAGGCTCGAAATAGATGCCATTGCAAATTGAGATTTGTGTGACGACATTGCTAACCTTATTGAATCTAATACAGTTGATATTCTGAAATATTTTAATTCTTTAGAGTATTTTTAAAGTGTTACATTTTTTAAAAATAATCTGGGATAAATTATCTAAACCTTTCTCATCCGTAATTTTTTACTATGGATTAATTTAAAGTAGTTACTTTAAAAAAAAAAAAAAAACATTTATATGGAAAGTAAAATAGGAGAGAAAATAAAAAATCAATTTTATATAACATATTAAAAAACTTTTGCAAAGGATAAATCAATAGAGATATTCATATTAATCTCAGCCTATAATTCATGTCTGGCTTTTATTCTGGCAGAGAGGTTGACCCCCAGATTTTTCTTAAAATTTTGAGATTTAAAACGTAGATAGGATACATGGTAAGGACATACACCGGGATGTATGGTAGAAAGATAAATAGCTAAAGTCATATTGTAAACTGTATAAATACAATAACAATATTTTATAAAATACAATATAATACAATACAATACAATAACAATATAATTTTTTAATAATTATAATTTTATAATTTTATAAATTTGTTG